GTCTTCCTGGTTCGTACGGCTGTTACTGATGGATTCCGGTTATTGCACTGGTTGAGCGATACTTGGTTTCACCCTACTTCGGCAAGGACGTTTTAAAATTTTCAGGGAAAGCCGAGGAGTTAGTTGCTTACGTATTAGAGGCTTGTAGAAAATCGTGACATAAAATGTGCTGAACCACTGTTTCTTAACTTGGTTTTGTTAGTCTTAACTATTATTTTTCTCTCAAACTGCATTGCATGTTTTTTCGACTTGCGGCAAGTTCTTGTAGATGGTATTTCTAGAAGAAGCGTCAACAGTTGCTGTATGCTATCACCTCCATTGTACATTTATGAAATGTTTTACTTTTTAAATTTAGATTATGTGGATAAGCCTTTGGAAAAACCTTTAAAGCTGGTGCTTAAAGTTGGAGGAAGTGAAGTGACTGAACTTTCTGGGTCAGGGCATGATTCTAGTTACTATGATGACAGATCAGATCATGAGCGAGAACGACATAAAGAAAAAAAGAAAAAAAAGAAGAAAAAGTCTGAGAAGGAAAAAGAAAAACATCTAGATGATGAGGAAAGAAGAAAGAGAAAGGTAAGCTGTGATGTTTAGAGTTCAGACATACCGATCGTCTTCATGCTTGCTTATCAGATCTAAAATCTGGTTCAGAGTACCAGAACGTCTTTTTTTTTTTTTTTTGTTCTAATCACCGTTGCAGGAAGCTTAGTGTTTGGACACAACACTTCACAAATGTGGAAAACCCCTGTGTGTGTGTTGGTGTATTTCTCCCGTTTAAGAGATATCACTGTGATGTTTTTTTGAACAAAGCAAAAGCTTGTTTCTTGCAGCTGCTTGGTTTTCTTATCCATTTGCTTTGTCTGTAGGTATGAATACTTCCGTTTTTAAGTTGGATGTTTTGTGTTTCAGCCAGGTTAGAAACATGTTTTGCTACCCTTTGAGGGAGGGTATTTTCAGCTTTTCAAATAAATTGAGTTTGTATTTCTCTTCCTGAGATATGCCAAGTTATTTGACATTGAAATTGGTAGGTTTACTCAAAACAGTTTTCTGAATTCTGGTCTGTTGAGTATTGTGGTACAATAGTCTTGTTGGCTCTTGTTTAGAGTAACCTGCATGCTAGGCTTCGTGGCTTTGTTAGTAGCAAATGGATTGGTCACCGTAGTTGTCTGTGCTGAACCTTTAGGAGTTAGATTGAAATCAGCAATAAGGTGTTAACGGTACAGTTAGCTGTGCAATGTCATTTTAATAGTATTTCTTTTTTGTACTAATGATTCTCTGACCTCTCTGCTTTCTTAATTCTCTTCTGTCATGTAGTTTTACTATTCTCATGTGACAATTTTTGATACTACTTTGTATGTGTGTGTGGCTAACTGCTGTCATTTCAAATTGATTTATTTGCTAGACTTGTATTACCTGAAACTGATATATCTTGTAGGATCATTCAGAGGCAGGGTAGATAGCGGTAAATTTTCTTTGTCTAAAGATTTTCAAATGTTTCAGTTAAGAGTATGACTGGGACTTGAAATGTAGCAAAACAGCTGTCTTTAATAAAAGATCTTGCAGTATCAAATCAAATTATTTGTTTTGCCTTTGATAAATTGTTAAGGGGGGGGTGGGTATTGTTTGGGGTTTTTTTCCCCAGAACTTCGTTATTAGTGCATGCAAAAGAAGTTAATGAATAGATAAGTGCCAAAACTGTAGTCTGAACAAGGTTAATGAAAGTATGATTTTCTGTGTGAACATGAATAATGACTGTATGATTATAGGAATGACTCGGGCATGCCTTTTCTTTGAAGCTCAGGAAGAGATCATTAATTGCCACCACTGTTACAGAGCATTTCCTGTTCTTTGGTAGGCTTCCTAAATTATTGCGTGCTTTATTGGTTCCTGTTTAATGCTCCAAACAACAAAACCACATTGATCAAAGCAGAGCTATAGACTGATCTTTACTTAATAGTAAATAAACTTCCTTTAGTCTCTGATGTAGCTTATTATCGTGCAATTTTAAATATAAATAGCTTCAGAGTTTAACATTCTTTTCGGTACAGTAACTAATGATAGAACAATAGTATATTAAATACAAAGAAGCAAAAGATGAACATTATTAGTTTTAATTGGAGAAGAAAATTGAAAAAGTGACAGTGAAAACTTATACATTATTGTTTAAACGATATTATGGCTCAGATGAGTATTCCAAACAAAAAATCACTGTCTCTTACCTTTTGGTGTGTGGGATTGCACATTCCAAGTACATTCTTTTAAGATCTGTCTTCTTCCTGCTGTGCTAGGAAGAGAAAAAGAGGAAAAGGGAGAAAGAACAGTGTGACACTGAAGGAGAAACTGATGACTTTGATCCAGGCAAAAAAGTAGAGGTTGAGCCTCCTCCAGATCGTCCTGTCAGAGCATGCAGAACTCAGCCAGGTGAGCAGTGTGAAAAATTAAATCATCCTGGGTGTTTTTAAAAGCACACACAACAATGCTTTTGTCAAAGGTACTAAAGTGTAAAATTTCCACGAGGATTTGCTGAAATCTAGAGACTTTATTTTTTCCAACATTCAAAACTTTATGCTATCTGAAAAATTAATATTCCTCTTGGTGCTTCTGGGTTTTAGTAGGTTTGTTTTCATGTGACTGAACTTGCCAAGGACATCTGTCTCTGGCTCCTGCTATTTGGCAGAATAAAGCTAGCATAAAAGTATTATCGTGTGTAGTGTTCCCCTAATTCCTTCTCCTTAGCATTTCCCTAGCATTTACAGAGTAATGGT